TAATTAAGTGTGTTATCTGTTTTATTGTAAGGCTGGAATAAATTGTCAGATTAGATTCTCCACATTGACCAATATGGTTCTTGTTATAAAATTGCAAAAGCTGAAACGAAATGAAAGTACCAACAAGTTTGCATACCTCCACGCTGGTCAATGCGCCCATGGTGATATCAAATAAACCAGCTCTTTTTTTAATCCATTGTTAAAAATTAAAGATTTTCTTGCATGCTGTTTAGTTCCACTATGCTCTTCACTTACTAATACTTTTATTTATACTTTTGCTTCTTAGTAATTGTCGCTATAAGAATATTTTTGGAGATTAGTCATCTATGTCGAAGACTAAAAATTTATAACAGTTTTTTTCATTAATACCTTGAAACAAATTTATTACATTTTGGGTGTTTTGCTATTGGTGTTTTGCTATTGGTGTTTTGCTATTGATTTAAATAAAGTTTTGCTCTTAACTTAAGAATGATTTAAAATTCTACCAATTTCATTCTTTGCAGGATTTAAAAACCAGACAGTAGGTTTATTTAAAAACAAGATTTATTTTTAAAAATTTTGATCTTTAAATGTTATAATGCAGTCAGAAGTGTGATTTAAGTGCGATTTTAATGAAAATGGTTAATTGTTTACTTTCTATGTTTACTTGGTCTTCACGTTTAGGGTTGGCTTTTTTTATAAATGGTAATAATTGCGTTTTAAGGATATGGTTGCATTCCTCCTTAGTTCATTTGTACATATTTATAGTTTTATCAGAAGTCAAGTCTTTATAATATATTCCGTAGGGATATGATATCATGATTCTTTTTTTTTTGAAATGTATTGTTGATATTGAAAATTTTTAAAGTTTTAACAATGTGTTAAATCTTTTCCAAAAGAAGACATTTAATTTGTGGCATTTTTTTGATATCATAGTTAATGTAGTCAGATGAATCTTTATTTTGACGTTGCTTTCCATCTCATTTTTAATAAGAATTTTAGTTTTATTGATTAATTTTAATTTTTTTTCAATGAGAGAGAAATGTTTTTAATGATTAATTGAAGTTTACTATCTTCATCCTGTGGATTACTTTAAATACAGTACTTAACTTTAAATATAGACTTAAAGTATGAATGGAGCATATGTATTGTTTTGGTTATATATTGGTTATATATTGATTGGTTTAATAATATTTTGAAATAAAAAGTGCTCAATAATTTAGAAATTTAATTTTAATTTTGAATAAAGCATTATATAGTTAAAATGAAGAAAAACAACAATTTGTGGAACTTGAAGTTTCATATCTTGTAGGCATTCATAAGCCATAAAATACAAATTCAAAAAAAAAAAACTGTTTAAGAAAATTACAAATACAGGGAAACCATTTTTGACATCTCTATAGCGACATTCTCGTGAAATAAAAGTAAAATATAATAATGGTTATCTAAATATATTTTTTTTTATTATTTTCATATTAATTTTTGTTATTAGTTTTTTTTTTTTTTTTTTCATATTAATTGTGTTAAATGATTTTAAATGGCTTGTATAATTGACATATAAATAGTTTTATGGCTAATGATTGCCTAAATGACGTGAAACTTATACCATAAATTATTGTTTTACTTCATTTTAATATAATGCTCTATTTTGAAATTTAAATTAAATTTCTATGTTATTGAAACTTTAAGTGCTCTCAAAATCAGTCAGATTTTTTTCACCCCGATTTATTTTTGTTATAATTTTTTATTATTTCATTATTGATTTATTTTTGACTTTTTTTATGATAATTATTTTACTCATTCTTAACCAAGATTTTTTTTTATTATACTTACATTATATATACATTTATATATTATCATACAATAAAAAACAACAATATGTATATACAGTACTTTTATTCAGGCAGAATGCTCCATAACAGCATTCCAGCACGTTTAGTAGGTTGTTTTTAAAATGTGCATTTTGTTTTGTCTTGCTATAAGAACTTACTATAAAAAAAAATCTTTTAATTTCACTTTTTTCATAACTTAATTCACAACCTTTTAAATTTATAAGCATAAGTCATAGTGTGTATCAACTAGGGGTTTGGGTTTTGACATTTTTAAAATCTATCTACGAAGGACATTTACTATGGGAAAAGTTTTTTCATTTTTTCTTAATTTTTTTTTCTTTTTCTTCATTTCCCAAACAAGGATTATTTAAAGTTATCATTTTAAAAATAAAGACTAGAGCATATTTAATCTAAATCTGCAATATGTTGCAAAGAAATTTTGATTGTTGCAATATGTTGCAAAGAATCTATAATATGCTGTTTAGAGTTCTTTATGCTTTTGAGTGTTGAATATAATATTGATAAAATGAACTAAAAGAAAGCAATTAAAATGCTAAAACCTTTAGAGAAAATATCCTTGTAAAATTAAATATTTATCCGTAATCAGTTATATATTCCAAATTGAATTCTAATCTAGTTTAAGAATGGATAAAAAAAAATTAAATGCAATAGTTGTTTAGTGGTAGAGATTTTATAGACAAGCACGAAACTGGGAGAGAGAAAGAATTTAAAACATCATACATATTTCTTTCAATAAAACTTATTGCATTAAAGTTTTTGAACTATTTTGCATGTAAACTCTGGTCTTTGTCATCCGTGCTCACTGAAATTCCTAATATTATTATTTTCTTAAATAAAAAAAATTTTACTTGTTGAGTTCCTAATTAATTAATTTAAATTAATTAACTTTAAAACAATAATTAATTTAAATAATTAAGTTTAAGCATCCAAACAATTTGTACAACTTGAATCTATCAGTTTGTTTTCCAAGTTAGTACATCAAGCAATTTTTGGTCAGTGTGTTTAATATATTTATAAGCGACAGTCAATTTTAATCAAATGTTATTTGACATTGACCAATACTTGTGTTTAAATCAAATTAAACATCAATTAAGTTTAATCTAAGCATGTAATTCTCATACTGTTTAAATAAAAAATTTCAGAATTTGATAATTAAATTTCATATCAATTAAAATTAAAATTTTGTTTGATCTTAGTGAAAATCTGCAACTAATAGATAAAAGGTCAATCGAAGGGGTTCTCAATAAATTTTTTGTTATTTTTAAGTTTATTTACAAAACATTAAATGTCAAATTCTGTTATAATTAAATATTCATTTTCTAAACTTTTCATCATTCAAGATTTTAAATTTATTGTAGTTTATTATCAAGCTTTATTAGTGTTAGGCCAATATTGTGCCTAGTCCGTAAGGGTTAGTGTTACGGTCATCGAGCACAGCTATTTTCCAAACACATTATGTATATATATACACACATACACACACACACACACAGATATATATATATATATATATATATATATATATATATATATATATATATATATATATATATATATATATATATATATATATATATATATATATATATATATATATACATATATATATATATATATATGTTATTACATATATATATATACAGCTATTTTTGAAACACAATATGTATATATATACACACATACACACACACACACACAAAAAATCACGATATATGTTATTACATATATCGTGATTTTTTGAAACTAACAATCATATTCGCTAATGTATGTTTTTTCATGTTGTTTTGTTATGGTTTTAAAATTATGTTAATTTGGACTATAGAGAAGTTTTGAAATTTTGATTTAGTTATGGTCTTAAAGTAACTTTGATCCGGACCGTAGAGAAAATTTTACTTCTAAAGAATATTTTTTCCCGCTTCTTACATCATTTTTATACCATGCCTTATATCATTGTAATATCACCTGAAAAACTTTTTATTAACTATCCATTTGGCTAAAATTTTCTAGTCTTATTACATTTAGTAATATGTTATTTATCTGCTAGTTTTCATATTATTACTATTATCAAGGAATTCTATTTGGTTTTAATAATCTTAAAAAGAAATTTATTAGTATTTTTTGTTTGCCTTGCATTGTTGTATGCATACTTTTTTGTAGTCAATATTTTGTTTTGTAAGTTTTTTTAATTATATATTTGCTGTATATCTTAGCTCTTCTTAAGTGTTTATAAAAAATTATATATTTTATTTTTTTTATTATTTCATTTATGTACAGTTTGGGTGCATTGTCTGTCTTATTTTTGTCATTGTGTTGGTGTATTTTTAAATATTCTTCTATTGGCCTTTATTTTTATCATGATAACTGTCAAAGTATGTTTTCTTTTGAAAAATAGTTGTCCTCTATTCTAATGTACTTCATTTTTTTTTCACACTTGCTTCAGGCGTACACTGCTCCTGTATGATCATTCAGTCAAAGTTTTTAGATAATTAAAATATTCATTTTCGAAACTTTGCATCATCCAAGATTTAAGTTTTTTTATTTCTAACTTCTAAATTAAACTTAACATTTAAAAAGCTTCAAGTTAATAAAATCTTCACTCCTAACCAAGTTAATAAAATCTTCGTTAAACTCTAGAAGTGAGAAAAATGTGCAGTTTTTCCTTTTGTTAGTATTGCCCTCAAAATTATGGTTAGCATTTGACAATCTTGACCTAATTGTCGACCTAAGAGTAACTGCACCATAAAAATGAGGTTGGTAAAAAATTGCCAACCTTGTTTCTATGTTATTATGGTGAAACCTTTATGTTAATTTTGTGTTATCCTAGTAACCTAGTAACTAGTAATGCCTTTCAAACGAATTTTAGTTATGATTAAACTATTTTAAATTTATTTTTTCACTTTATTTGTTTATTCACTTTATTTTCTCTAATTCTGAGGGCTGCCTAAATAGTTTCCTACTTTGTGTCATCTGGTTAGTTTTTTACTTAGTATCACCTGATTAATTTTTTACTTAGTGTTACATGATTAATTTTTTACTTAGTGTTACATGGTTAGTTTTTTACTTTGTATCATCTGATTGTTCTATAAAATTTTTTGTTAATAAATTTAGTTTTTAAATAAAAAAATATTTTTAAAACAGTTTGAAGTTTAGTTCATTTTATTTGTTTAGGCTACAACATTATTTGGAATGTGGTTATTTCCATTAATTTTTAATTTGCGCGTGGGTTGGTATAGAATGTTAATAGTTTGGTTGTTTTTTACTCTATCTACTCTTTTTATATTGAGAATTGCAACACGCAATCCACTAAATCCTCATGCGCCAAGGTATTTTTTTATTTTTAATATTACTTGGCATATAAAATTTATTTTTGTCAACATGTATTAATTTTTGTTGTTGTTTATGTTTAGAATTGTGTATAAATGGTTTTTAAATGTTCACCGTTTGACATATGCCGTTGGTATTCTTGGTTATGTTATAATTATGTGCACATTTTTTGGAGTTAACTTATTACTTATGTTGCCACCAGATGTTGCAATGAATGCTGGAGTTACCATTATTTTTTATGGGTTATATTTTGGAGTTTTAGGAAGAGATTGTGCAGAAGTATGTACAGAAAAAATGGCAGCAAAAATGGGAGTAAGTCTCTATAGTAATATGTTTTCTTTACTCTTAAAATTATTTAGCATGCTTTTTTCGGTTTATTTATAACTTCTTGACATATTTGCAAAAATACAGTGATTGTGATTGTAAACTAAAAAGAGAAAAAAGTTAACGAATAATAAAATAAATAAAGGATAAAGCAGAAAAAATAAAAGCATAAAACTAATGTACTTTTTAAATTAAATCTCTAATAATAAAAACTTCATATAATTTAACAGCAGTTAGTAGTTTAAAGCTAATAATTTTTCCTCGCCAAGTTGATGTTTGTAGTCAATATTTTGTTTGGTAAGTTTTTTTTTATGATTATTTGCTGTATATCTTAGCTCTTCTGTTTATAAAAAATTCTATTTTTTAAAATTTTATTATTATTTTTTTTATGTACAGTTTGGGTTCATTGTCTGTCTTATTTTTGTCATTGTGTTGGTGTATTTTTAAATATTCTTCTTATGATGTGTCTTAATAAGTCTCAGCTATTATATTGGAGGGTTCAAATCCTATTAACGGATAATTTTTTTTTATTATTTATTTTATAATTATTTATTTTATTATTAAGTTTCAAAATTTTAAATATTTAAGTCTTTAAGTAATTAAGCTTTGATTATATAACTTTGAAACTTCAATTTTTTCTAAATTCTTTGTAGTGAAACACTTAAATTAAAATTGAAACATATTATTTTCATGCTTTTATCTTTTCTGGTTTATTTTTTATTTATCTTATTATTCGTTAAGATTTGTTTACTTTGTTAAGATTTGTTTACTTTGTTAAGGTTTGTTTACTTTGTTAAGGTTTGTTTACTTTGTTTCCAGTTTGTTTATTTTTAATTTTAGTTTAAGTTTACATTTGTTTATTTAGCGCTTTTTTGAAAACGCTAAATAAAAATATCATATTTGTGGTCATATAAGTGTGTGCATTTTAATAACAGTATTTTATAATAAATAATTTTAATAAAGTTTTAAGAATGTGCAAAATATGAAATTAAGAACTGTAGTTGTATATAAATGTTCTTTTTTTTTTAATGGAATGTTGATGAAGTTTTTTGTATTCTTGTGCTCACCTGATTAAACTTGATTTTTATTTTCTAGTACTTTAGTGAAAGTGGGTTACCCTCAAAACGTCTCTTACCAAATATATGTTCAGTATGTGGACTAGAATTAACGTTATCTAATATGGAAGATGTGGAGGAAGAAAATAAGGAAAAAACTTATAAACTCTCTTGTGGTCATTTGTATCTTTTTACTAAAGGTTGTTTTTTCATATTAGTTTTTTTTTTTTTTTTTAATTCAAGTTTATTGTTTTATTAGAAAAAGTAAGTAAATAATAATTAGTAGCAACTAATTAGTAAAATATAAATAAAGTTAATACAGTAGAAAAAAAAGTTATACAAATAAAAATTGTAAATATTTTGAAAAATAACACAATTTAATTCGCAAATTTAATTCTAAAATAGTTTTTATAATTTATAACTGTGGGTAAGGGTAGGAGGAACTCGTAAACCTCAGATAATAGTCTTCTTAGTGGTGAGGAACTTGTTAACCTTGGATGGTAATCCTCCTATCCTCCTAGTGGTAATATTACAATAATACACAGTCTGATCTGTGTATTATTGTAATAATAACTGTTTTAATTCTTTAGTGTAATATTTGAATAAGATTTATTTAAAACACTATGTAAAGTTGCTACAAATTTATGTATACGAATTTTGTGCTGCACAAAGAAGTTAATTTTATCAATGATTGATTTAAAGTGGCAGATTTTCATCTTGATGAAGATTTTGCAATGCAAATAGCAAGAAAAAAGATTATATGTGGTGATTGAAGTTAGGAAATATTACTTTTAAGTTAAATCAGCATCTGTTTATATTTTGTATATGTTTGTTTATACACACACATGCACATATACATGGGTAAGAGTTAACAATTCTTTAGAGAACATGATATGTGCTGATAACACAAAAGTTAATATTTGAGTTAAGCTAAGTTATCAAATATCTCTTATTACACCATGTTATCAAGAAAACATTGTTAAAATTATGCATATCGATTTTCTTAACTAAAATGTAGATTTCATGAATTTTGTATTCGTGGTTGGTGCATTGTTGGGAAGAAACAAACCTGTCCATATTGTAAAGAAAAAGTTGACCTTAAAAGAATGTTTAAAAATCCGTATCTTTTCTAGAAAAATGTTAACAATTGTGTTTATGCATTTATTCATATATAAATAATATGATTACATATATACAAAGTGTATGTACTTGACTTATCGAAATTCCATCATCAGTGTTATATAATAATAGTAAATTAGAATAATAAATAAAATATGCAATAGATAGCATTTATGTCGTGTATTTACATGTATGTTGTATTAGTTTTACTTGTGACAAATAATGTTTTTATTACATAGCTAAATGTGCACACATACACATTTATTATATGCAAATTATGATGGAGATATTTATTTTACTATTTTACATAGGTGAGGGATGTTTATTTTAAACCCACTTTTTCCAAAGAATTAATTTATTTCTTCCACTGTCTAAATGCTATAATTTTGATAAACTTCCTTCACTCTTGAAGAGTAGCTTGTTGAGACAAAAAAAAAGGGAATGTGTATATAGACCTTTTCATAAATAAATGTCTGCAAACTCAAAATAAGATTTAAGATGTACATCTTCATTTCATAAGTAAACAAAGCAAATGACTTCTAATAATAAATCCTTATGGTGCAAACAATATAGTGTCTATAATTGCTTCAATTAAAACTATCAAATGCAGAGAGCAAAATGTGCCTGACATTAAATTCCTTCATTTTCTAAAAAAAAAATTTTAATTTGGTACTATTTAATATAGCAAAAAAATGTTTTGCTTTATCAAATTGCAAAATAAAAAATATAAAGCTAGGTTTAAATAGTTTTAATATTAGTGATTCATTGCATCTCTCCAACTTGTATTTTAGGCCAAAGTACATTTTAAGAGCTGCTGGAGGTACCAGATGTACTTTTAAAAAAGGTGCTATACCACCTCTTCATAGATGGAATAACCTCAAAGCTGGTATAAATAAAAAGAAACCACCAGCATTTAATCAAAAAAAAAATTATAGTTTTGTGTGACATTGTTGTTCATAACAAAACAAGTAGTTGCTTAAATAGAGAATCATTGATAACAAAATCAAAATAATAATCAAAGAATCTAAAATTTTTTTATCTTTTTTCAAATTTTGAAAAGCACATATAACATTACCACTAAAATTCTAAAAAGTTTTTTCTTTTTTATATGAGAAAATACTGAAATATTGCACAGGAAATTTATTTGATGCAGTTTTCATATTTCTTTACTTTTTAGAAAATGAAGCAAATCTTACACAATACTCTCATTCACAAGAAAATAAATGTAAAAGGAGAAATAGAATTCTGTTGCCATTAGCTTTAAGTGTATATATTTAATCAATAAGCATCAGATGAGTTCTTGAATAGTACCAAAGTCCTAATCTATAGCTATTCTTGAAGATATTTCTGAATATAATTATTATTTGAGGCAAATTATAGAAAAGTTAAGTTTGCAAATTGTCGGTTCTTATATTGCTTTTGACTTGAAATGTGGAAATGCATTAATTGGTTTATGCACTATTCTGGACATTCTGGAAATAGAGCTTGTTTATGGTGTAAAAGAATATTTACATTCAGGAACAAAACAAACTTATGACAAAATTGATTGTTGGTACAGTGAATATTTAGAATATAAATCAGTGAAATCATATATATATATATATATATATATATATATATATTTTGTTATTTCACCTCCCCAAGGCCGAGAGGAGGCTATTTAATTGTGGTTATAACCCTCTCTCAACTCTATAACTCCGAAACTTGATGAACAAGGCCGCTGCGCGGAGAAACAAGTTGAGCGCGGTACTACCAAGGACGTGGTGGGGATCGAACTCTGAACCTCTCGCTTATGAAGCGAGCGCTCTACCACTACACCACTACCGCATTATATATATATAATATATATATACATATATATATATATATATATATATATATATATATATATATATATATATATATATATATATATATATATATATTATATATATATATATATATGTATATATACATATGTATATATATATACAACCCTCGGAATTAGGGCCGGCATTCAACAATGCTGACCTAAAAGTAATTAAGGTCAGCAAATATTGCCGACTATGTTTTATGGTAAGACCTTTGTATCAATTTTTTTTTGCTGATCTGATGCTGACCTCTAAAAGATTGAAGCTGCCGACCTCATTTTTCCTTATTCCAAGGGTTGTTTATATATATATATATATATATATATATATATATATATATATATATATATATATATATATATATATATATATATATATATATATATATATATAATCTATGAAAGTTAATTTTATTGTTATGCAAAATTCAATAAATACAAAATGCGTATAAACTTTTTTGAAAAAATATTTGTTTGTTTTTTTTTATTTTTTTATTTTATTATATACTATTCAATATTATCGATAAAAAATAGCAACTTAGAAAAGAATTTAAAAAACAAAATATGAAGTTATATTCACACACACAGCTCCAAACTTAAATAATATAAAAAACATATTCTGCAACAATAAAACAAACCCAGGTGTCTACCCAATAAAATGTTCATGCAACTCTACATACATTAGTGAAACCAAAAAGATGTATTGAGCACCAGAAAAATAACATAAAATGAAAATGGGCCAGTTCGGGTGCTACACGGCTGTTTCACTCAATATAAAAGCGAGCTTGACGTCACAAGAATTTTGGTGTTTAAAAAAAAAAAAAAGAATTTCCGCATAAAAAGTATTAAAATTCACTAACTTTAAATTAATAGTATTTTTTTTCTATAAACGCTTTTATCTTGGAATTAAAAAAATATAAAAGAACTATCTTTCTTCGTAAAATAAATATTTACATGAAACGAAATAAAAATAGGCATTATTAAAATATTTTAAATGATTTTGGATCACTTTTCTATTTTTTGCGTATTTTACGGAAAACCTGTCTTGGGCCAATCAAGATTTAATATTTTAAGCTACATGCTTGATTATTGAAATTTTATATACTTATAAACGAATGTCTATTTTATCAGATTTTTGGAGGGCACAGATAAAAAAAAATAGTTTTAGTTAGTTTTTTTAGCATAATTTTTTTTGTTTTTACTTGTTTTATATGAAAAACGTTTAATTTTTGTTATGCCCTCCAAATTATTGAATTTTCAACCCTCTATGCACATGAAAATCAAAAAAATTACTTTCTGTACTTCTAACTAAAACGTCTTCAATCTTGGTAAACTTAGTTGCTTTTAGCAAAAATTTGTAGTTACATGCGTAAAGTTTTTGTTTATGTTTTAAAGCAATGACGTAACTTTAAATGCGTTAATTCCCAATTCACTATGTAATTAAATTTATTAAAACAGCTTTTTTAGCGAGACAAATTTTAGTGTATAAATAAAAAAAACTTTGGCGGTTTTTTTTCTCTCGTGGCTAATCTACAAACATCAGATAAGTTGTTAAATCCTCTAATATCTATTGCATACTTGTTATTTGTCAATAATTATCATTTGATTTTATTTGTTTGTATTATATTTGTATAAAGAAGTTTATTTATCACTATGCATTCTAGTGAAAGCGAGATACTAATACTATACATTGGATGCTTTAAAGCTTAACCTTTAAATTTTTAGGCATTAAGCTTTAGTTTTAAATTTTTTAACATTTAAGTTTTTTTGTTTTTATTATAGTCCAACAATCTGTATATTTAATAATAATTATCGAAAATATATTCTTTCTGAGTTTTTTTTGATAAAAAGTAACATCAAAATATTAAACCAAGTTCAACATTTGTCGCGTTTATTCTAAAATTAAAGAAGTTTTTTAATATATTTGTGAAACGCCATCAAATAAAACATTTTATTGGTGTTTTTATTCTTTTTACAGAACAAAATTACCTCTAATGTTTCAAAAGTTATAAAAGTTTTAGTAACACCCCTTACGTGAATATTTTCAAAAAACAACAAGAAGCCGTAAAGCTCGCTTGAAACAGCCGTGGCTACTGAACATTCCGAATTATGCCAAGATACATTTGACTGGTTACATCCCAAAACCATATCAATTGCTTCAGAATACGAAAAGTTCAAACTAAAGCTAAAGTTCAAAAAGAGTTTGGAAGTGGCAAAAATTTTTTTTTTTAAGAGGCAAACAGATTCTATCTGTTGACCAACCTTGCACCCCTTCTTTGTCTATTAGGCTGGCGCAGATATATTTTTAATACATTGTTTCCAGTTTAGGATGTTGAATGCTGGATCTTCTTGACTCATTGCATGGGTTTTGTTTGTGTCTCTGTTTTTATGACTAGGCAATTCATTCTATTATCTCCTAATGAGGGTACAGCTCTAAAACTCAGTTTTAAAGCTGTACCCAGTCAGCCTCAGTTCTGAGGCAGGCTAGTAGTCAGGTTTCCTGAACTCTGTGATAGCTCTCAGAGAGACTGATTCCATCAACAGTTGAAAAATATCATAGTATTAACAGTGCCATGTTGCCGTGGATGGTGTCCCTGTTCATACTTTTGGTGTGCGTTTTTGAGGCCACATTTGGAGCCCTTTGTTACAGCTTAGGGTTTGTTAAGCCACATTTGGAGCCCTTTGTTACAGCTTAGGGTAATAGTAATGAGGCAATTTCTTGGGCTATTGAATAGTGTACTGAGTATTGTCTATGCTTTGAGTCAAGTTTTTTAACAAATTTAAAAATGAATAAAGTACCTAAAGCTATAAAACACAAAAAACCAGCGTCATCACCATGTTCTCTAAACCTTTCATTCACAAATATTTGTGGTCTTCAAAGTAAATTTTCTTCTGTTGAGTCTTATCTCTTGCAAAGTTCACCAGACCTACTTGCTTTTTGTGTGACTAATTTGAGTTCAGCTGTCTCATCCTGTGATCTTAGTGTTGATGGTTATCTTTCTTTAATTCGTAAAGACTCCAATAGTCCCATTCTTGGCATGGATATTTACATTTGTAAGAATTCACTCATTTGTCATGAAACTAGGTTTGAATTTAAAGGCTATTTTTTTATGTGCTTTTGTTTAGCACCATTTCACTCTATCATCTTTCTCTTCGTTCTATATGGCTCTCCTTCATCTCAAGACTCCACTCTTTTTGATGTTATTTCTGATTAAATTGACCAAGCCCTCTCTCTTTATCCTAATTATTTAATTTTTGTGATGAAATCTTTCATCACAAAAATTAGGCTCCCGTGACTTCTGGAGAATCTTTAACAGTATCAATAATGAGGGCAAATCTGTTATTGCACCTTTCTTTTATGGTTCACACTTTATCACCTTACCTTAAGACAAAACTGAATTGTTTGCTAAAAACTTTTCATCAATATCATCTCTTGATTCCACTAGTTGCATTCTACCTGATATAGCCGTCAAACAGGTTGATCCGTTGCTTGACATTTGTATCCAAGCTTCTGTATCTAAAGTGATTTCCTGCTAAGACTCTTCTATAGCTTGTGGTCCGGACAACATACCTGTTATAGTCTTACAGAAGTGTTCTCCAAAGCTGTTGTCTATACTTTTAAAACTATTAAACAATTGCTTATCAGAGTTTTGTTTTCCAGCCTGCTGTGTAGCAGCATCTAATATCCCTATTTTCAAAAATTTTGGAGAGCGATCTGATTTGTTTAACTACCATCCCATTAGTCTTCTTCCTATCATATGCAAGGTTTTTGAATCTTTAATTAAGAAACACTTAATCTCTCATCTTGAATCTAATAGCTTTCTTTCTGATCATCAATATGGATTTTGATTTTTTCATTCTACAGCTGATTTGCTAACAGTAATAACCAATAAATTTTATTGTGCATTAAATAAAGGTGGAGAGTTTAAGGCTATCACTCTTGACATTTTTAAAACGTTTGATAAAGTTTGGCATGCTGGTCTTCTCCATAAGCTTTCTTCTTACGGTGTATCAGGTAACATCTTTAAGATTATTAAATCCTTCCTTTCCAATCGTAGTATAAAAGTTGTCCTCAATCGACAGCACTATTCTTCTTATCCTGTAACTTCAGGGGTTACTCAAGGTTCAATCCTTGACCCTATACTCTTTTTAATTACATTAACAATTCCAGATATTCTTACATCTAAGGTTGCATTGTTCGCTCATGATACTACCATTTATTCTTGTCATGATAAGAAGTCAACACTCTCTGGTTGCTTGGAGGGGGCATTTGAGCTTGAATAGGATCTCACTTCTGCTACAGCATTTGGCTCACATAGGCTGGTGAACTTTAATTCAGATAAAACCCAATTTTTTTCAGCAAATTGTTATCGTAATTAACGGTAATGTACTCGACGAGTCATCTACCCTTTATCATCTAGGAATAATTCTTTCCAATCTTTATTGGAAACCATATATCAAATCCATTGCAAAATTAGCATCTGCTAAGATTGCATCTCTTAATTGTGCTTGACACTTTTTACTCCAGATTCTATTCTTTATCTTTACAAATCTCAAATCCGTCCTTGTATACTAAATTAATATTTAATACTGTTGCCATATTTTGGGTGCATCTTCTAATAATGCCCTTTCTCTTTTAGACAAGGTGCTAAAAACCATTGTAAACATAGTTGAACCTGGTCTTGCAGCCAACTTCCGACCATTATCACATCGTCGTAACGTTGCTTCTCTTTTTTTTTTCTACAAATACCATAATGGACACTGCTCTAAAGAGCTAGCCTCTCTGGTGCCATGTACTAAAATTAATTCTTGTGTTACTCGTCATTTAATTAAGTCTCATCCATTTTTTGTGACTGTTCCTAAGTGCTCCAAAAACTCTTAATTATCTAGTTTTTCCCTCAAACATCAGTTCTTTGGAATTCGCCTTCTTTGTCTTTCTTTTCTGATTCATATAACTTGCAATCTTTTCAGTCGTCTGTCAATCGTTAACTTGCTGCATATATTTCATCTTTTTTCTCCCAGTAACTTCCAACTCTAATAATGGTTGCTTGCACCCTAGTTGGAAACGAAGGTGTTTAAAAAAAAAATGTTCTTTATGATGATGGTGATAACGTGAAAACATCTTTTATTAGTCTATCTGGCGTCAACATTTATTTCTTATTTTGTATCTTTTCAGGCATTTTTTAATGTTATCTTTTTAATGGTTTGTTTTTATTATAACGATTTTCTTTGTAACGATTTTTATTTATTATACCTGATGAGGCTGTTCACAATTGATCAGCAAAATATAAACTAATATATATTAAAATAAAAACAGTAAAAAAACAAATATATATATTTTTAAAGAGGGTTTATACGCAGCCGTATTTATTGAATTTTTCATGTATATATATATATATATATATATATATATATATATATATATATATATTTATATATATATATATATATTCATAAACAAGACAAAATATATATATATATATATATATATATATATATATATATATATATATATATATATATATATATATATATATATATATATATATATATATATATATATATATATTCATAAACAAGACAAATTTTTTAATTTGTAAAATCGTTTTTTTAATAAAAAAAAATATTTCGACTAACACTAGTCATCTTCAGTTAAAATTAAATATTTAAAGTTTGTAAAAATACCTATAAAGTTGTTTACAAAAAACAATACAAAATGTACAAATTAATAATAATCTAATTACAATAAAATCAATTAAAAAGTTTAACATTTCATGCTAAAGAAATAGGAAATAACAAGAGAATCGCTGCTCTTACAAACTCTCTGATAATGAATTAGACAACCTTAAAAATGGTTTACAGTTTTTAATTCCACCCAAATATTTTAGACATACTAAAATCTTTTCTACTTTCAAACCATCTTTTACGAACAAAGTTGAAAAATAATGAAGATTCAGGGAAACTTAAAGCAAAGGTTTCCCATCTTGCATTATAAATCTTATATTTATAATAACATTCTTTTTAGAAAACTCTGGAGAAACATGAAATACTGAAAAAACTTTCTAGCAATTTGGATATTATTATTTTAAAAATTTTGTTAAAATTTTATAAATGTGACGTCATATTAGATAAAGAAATATACGTAAATGGTATTTATAAAACTATTAATGATAAAACAAAATTTAAACAACTTAAGATTTTACCATAAATAGAGAAATTCAACTTCAAATTTTTTTAAGAAACAAAAAGAAAAAGGTTTTTTTAATAATTTTACATATAACAAAATTTATCTGTCTGGATCACATCCTGGTCCTATTTATGGACTTCCAAAGATGCATAAATTAAATTCTTCTGAGACCATAAACTTTAGACCCATTGTATCATCTATTGAAACCTATGCTTAACAACTAGCCAAATTTCTTAGAGATTTATCATCACCATTATTAAACACTGAGTTTTATACGAAAGATTCATTTTTCCTTGTAAATGAAATAAGTCGATCTCCACAAATATTTTTCAATGTCATATGATGTAACCAGCTTATATACTAATATTCCGCTTCAACAAACCATTGAAATTGCAGTTAATTTAATTTTGCTACATATTAAAAACAGAGTCTAATTTTTGGGATATTATACAAGATTTCATTACCTGAGAGTAGTGGGCTTTGGCATTAGACAAAACCTTTTTACAATGGTTTTTAGCAATAGTAAACAGACGCCTGTTTTCTGGAGAATTGTTTTGCTGATAGATACAAAAGTAATAGTTACGATTGGAAATTGCAGCAGCACAATTAATTCTTCAGTTACCACTAACGTTTTTCATAAAATAAAAACTATTCCGGTCTTGACACTTTTATAATTTCACTCTATTTTCACAACTTTTATAATTTCACTCTATTTTCGTACAGAGTTAGTCTAATCAAATGCTTAATCGATAGAACGTTTAAAATTAATAGTACTTTACTTGGATTGAACTTTAACACAAACGACTTCTTTAAAGTATATCAAAGAAACATGTACTCGTCTTTTTTATATAATACATGTACTCGTCTTTTATACATATAACTCCTATTTAAACAAGATTAACGCAAATACTCCACCGCAACTCTCCGCAAATACTCCACCGCAACTGAAAATCATAGGATTTTGTCTTATTTTAAAACTACCGTTTTTGGAAAAAAATATTCAACTAAAAAAAGACTGAATTAAATTGCTAAAAAATATTCCCGTTCTGCAATGTTAAATTAGTATTTACCTCACTAAAAATTTCTAAATTCTTTTCTTTTAAAGATCCTGTTTTTCTAGAGTTTAATGCTTCGTGGTCTATAAGTTCGTATGTGCAAGATGTAATTCCTGTTGTATAGGCGACACTACTCGCCATCTCAAGATGCGGATATCTGAACATTACAAGTGGGACAAAAAGTCTCATATCTTTAGGCATCTCCATGCTAACGAAAATTGTTTCATCCAAATGAATGGTAAGTTTTTTTCTGTTTTAGATTCGGCATCTAATAAATTCGAGTTAAAACTTTAAGTCGAAAAAAACTTAGGTGCGTTCATAGTATAGTTAAAACCTGGTATGAATAAACAGGTTAAACATGTCCAATTGACACTTTCTGTTTAGATACTACTTTCTATACATACTGTGTACCTTTTAACATATTCTTTTGTTATTTTCTATTTCCTTAGTATGAAGTGTTAAATTTTTAATTGATTTAATCTAGTTTTGTAATTATAGAAGAAGAATTATATTTTGTATTGTTTTTTTAACACCTGTTTTAAATATTTAATTTTCTAACATTTGCGTTTAATTTCGCAACGTTATTTTATAATGTAAGTTAGAAGACGTGTAAGTTGGAAGGCTACTTATTTGTTGGTACAACGTGAAGTTAAAAAAAGCAACCTATTCACTATAAATTTATTAATGATGTTTTTATTTCATTCTTTAACTGTGTAACTAATCCTCATAGATGGGAACGACCACATCTATTGTTCGGTCAACTTCTTGATTGGATTCGCTACTTTGTTGTATGGCTTCCAATTATTGTAGTTAGTGTTCGCGGAATCAATTATATGCTTGGGCTCGAGTAGTTATAAATTTTTTTTAACCAATGAAATAAAACGAATATATAGTTTGATATATTCATTAGATTTTTAGTATAAATTTATTTAAGTTATAAATATTTAAAGTGTAATTTTCCAACGACCAGAATTTATTAATCTATCCAATTCTTTTTTGTATAGTTTATATTTAATTTTCAATTAAATTTTAGTTTAATTTATAAAATTAAATTTTAGTTTAGTTTATAAAATTAAGCTCAAAAACGGTTTTATTAGGAGGTAGCTATTCTTAGAATTTTTGTAAATTTTTAGTATTATTGTTTTATTAATGTAACAATTTTTTTTTTTTTTTTCCAGTTTTTATTTTTTTTTCAGCTTTTTTTTTTCATCTCTAAGAAAATATTTTGTGACAAATTCTCGCTTTATTTTTACTATTGGTAAAATTAATTAAAAAAGTTCGAGGTGACACGTATAGCAACGACTTGCTAAATTGTTGTTTATTACTGTTTCAAGTAAAGATTTTGTATTTATATCCTTATTGCTATTTATTATTGCTCTTCCTTATTTTATTCAAAGATAAAGGATTAATTACTAAACCATTAGTTTAATTATTAAACTATGGTTGATTATAGAAAAAGAAAATGTAAAAATTTGATTTTTTCTCTGTACATGTATGGCAGAAATTAGCCAAATATTTAACCGCGTTGCTACTATTTAATATTTAAAATTGAAGCTGCAATAAATTCTTACCGATGCATCGATTTAAATCGATGGCACCGATTTAAATCGATGGCTTTCAAATCGTAAAGATATTATGCCTATTAAAATTTAAAATATAAATTTAAGTTAACTTTTTAATCTAATCTTTAATTTTAATCCATGAAATTTAATCCAATTTCTGATTCTACTACAAAGGGTATTGCTGAAGCGTTAAAAAACATTGTGCCTTATTCCATCCTCTTTAATGCTATACCTAAACCAGAGATAGAAATGACAATGTAAGTAGATATTTTATCATTTGAAAAAACAATTCATATGAAAAATATTAAAGAAATTGAGCAGTTAACCAAAGGACAAAATAAAAACAAAAACTGCTACAATTTTAGAAAAGATGTTATAACAGCTTCAAAAAAATACGATTTTTAGAAAAAAATGAATAAAATAAACAATTTAGATGCAAATCTGAACTCCTAAAAAAACGCCGAATCTTATGTCGGAAAATATCAGAAACTTTTAGTTTCCAATGCATATTACTGTATTTGAAACTGTAATTTAATGTATAACATTAGAAATAGTAATTACGAAGCTAATTACAAAAAAATTATTTCTAAGTTTATTTAATTAACTTTTTATATAGACGTAGATAAACGGCAAATAACGCTATTAAGGGAATCTGCGAAAAGATTTTTTTTGGAGTTTTATACTCAAAAATGCTGAACCTTCTTTGATTTCCTTATTTTTATCTGATACGTAATAATTTTGTATATACATTTTCTTTTTATCACGATAATAAATGTATACTTTATATGATATACCTGGAAAAGAAAAAAATAAATAAATAAAGTTAGTCATAAGTCTTTGAAGCTTTCATTCTATCTTAAGAATCTGTGTACCTCCTCCTTTTTTAGTTCCCATTACGTTTATTACAAACATCTCCCCAATATTTAGAACCTGAAACTTTCATTAGTAATGACAAACTTAAATTTAAAAACATTTTTTAATCAAACAATTATTTTTTTTAATTTTTTTTTAGGTGCCCCAAGAAGTCTTTATGGTCTTATCACTGAACACCATGAATGAGCATTTAATTGGAAGTTAACGCCTCCTTTCTATCTGATGTTGCAAAACTTGCTCAAAGGTGGGCTTTGAGCCACAGATCTTTTGTTTTTGAGGCAAGTGCGCTGCCACTACGCCTCGGCTGCTAATCAATATGCAAATAAAACTTTAAAAAAATTATTTAGCTGCTGGTAACATTTAGTACAACCTGCTTAATGTTAACATCCAGTAAAAAATTGCTTCAACAATTCTATTATGACATTTAGAAACATTGTAGAGCTAAAAAAATAGCATTTAAATCCAAACCAGACAAGTTCGGTACAGGGCCGTCCTGAAGAGGTCTCCCATGGGAGGGGGGGGGGTGTTGATTTATGTTTTTTGCTAACTAGAGACAAAAAAAAAATCTTTGATTTTTGACATTGGCAAGAAGAAGACATAATTGGTCTTATCACCAAGCGCCTTAGTCTATACAATAAATACAAAACAACAACCATTAAAAAACGTACCACTATGAATATAAAACGTTTTTCTAAAAAATTAATAAAATAAAAGTTATATTTAAAGTTATAATCTTAAGTTTCCATATCTTTTGCATTAATAACCAGCACAGGTTTTAAGTTACACAGTGCAGCACTCACCCTCACAATATCACTCTGACATCACCCCTCGCCTAGAGGAATAATCAAAGTCATAAAAATCATTATCTTTTTTTATAAATTTATCCAAATACTTCAAACAAATAGATAAAAAAAAGTGATTAACCCACCAGGATAAACCTAAACAATAAACTTAAAAATATTTTGTTGTTTATAATCAGACCTAATTGAGGCATGTGCTAGGAGAGATTTTGGTCGTTCAATGAAAACTTCAGCGCAACCAATAATCACACAACACCCTGTAATGCCCTGCAATCCTAAATACTTTAAGCAAGCTTTCCCTGATGGATTCACGTGGAAACCATACAATAAGAACACACTCTAATACACTGATTAAAAGTTTAATCATAAACTGCATAAATGTTAAAAAATTTTGCAAGGCGAAGTTGCATAAATGTTTTTTTTTCAATAGCTCGAGGTCCTGAAAACCAGTTAATAGAGAGAAATTTATGCAATACATGCTATGCCCAAATTGGAAAAGGAAAGTCTCATCCTTGCACCAAATTAGAGAGACAAAAGAATTTGTCAGCTATTGTACAGTCGGCATCCCCTGTGACTAAACAAAGAGTTCTTTCAAGATCTTTGAAAGATCTTAGTTCAGATAAGGAAATAATTCTAAACACTTTTGGTCCGAATAAGATGGTTGTCAGGATTGGAACTGAGCCGAAAAAAAACATATTTTACATCAGAAAAACTTAATCTACTTCAACTGAAACTTCACTGCAGTGATCGTAAAATGATTAAGATAAATCTGTTTCTTCGGTCTGAAGGTGTAAATGTTGAACCAGGATTCAGTAAGAAATTGACAAGCAATAATAATGCTATTCTAGACCTTTTTAATAGAGAAAAGTTTTCTATTTTTATGAAGGAAACGAGTAATGCAGGGGAAATAGAGGTAAAAATAAATTGAAATCTTTTTTCTTTACAAATCAGCAGAAAACACATTTTATGTAAGTATTTTGAGCATGTACATAAATATTTTTCATCAAGTTTAGACAGGTTGAGTATTAACATTTAATTAGTATAACACAAGTGGCTAGGTAACTAATTTTTGATTTTGCATGTTTAGATGGTTGAGAAAGAGGTTCCTGGAGGATATTGTAATGATGTTGAAGAGCTCGTGGCCCTGGTCCTTCAACACAGAAATCAGGTCCCTAATGATGTTGATATCAAGCTTGGCGTAGATGGGGGCAAGGGTACCTTAAAGTGACTTTGTCAATTACATTAAAACCAGACATGAAGACACATACTGTCCCAGAGAAAAGAAGTTGAAATGAGGAAGGATATTCAAGCAAGATTTTAAGTATTCAAGTGTTCACAAAACTCTCATTTTCGCCATTTTGCCCTCAATAAATGAAAGCTATGTAAATTTAAAATGATCCTTGATAAATTGAAAATAAATAATTTGGACTACACTATATCAGAAGATCTAAAAGTTTTGCTCCAGATGGTTGGCAAACAGACAGCAACAGCTAAACATCCTTGCCCATTCTGTAAAACCTCATCTCCCAAAATGATGAAATCTGAACATTATACTTTGTCTTCTCTTTGCAAACTGTACGATCATTGGATGGTGGACGGTGCAAAAGTAGAAAATGCAAAAGAGTTTAGTAATGTTGTACATCCACCTCTATAAACTGGGGACCCAACCAAGAAGATAATTGAAATAGTTAATATACCAGGTCTACATATACTGCGAGGTGTAGTGGACAAGTTAATCTCAGAAATGGAAAAGAAGTTATTTGTAACCAAGGAGGAGGGATTTATATCTATAAGTTCTTTTTTGGGATCTATTAATTTCAACCGGGTATCTTACCAAGGCAGCATCGCCTGGAAGGCAATGCTTGCAACCTTTTCCTGAAAAAAATCGAGAGCTTGGAAGTATTTTTCCAACAGAAAGGCCTGTTTTTTCAATCAGCCAAGTATATAAAAGTTTTACGAGACTTCAACAAAATAGTTCAAGGATGTTTTAGCAAATCTGTTAGTCCTACATATATTGACGATATAAAGGAATTCTCCTCAAGCTACTGGAACCTGGGAGCCACAGTACCTTTAAAAGTACACATAGTAGAACAACATATTGAGGAGTTCATCAAAATGAAGGGAGGACAGTTTGGTAAGATTAACTAAGGTTAGGGCTATTGTATTTGTAATGAAAACAATAACAGTAACAATAACTATTGTTATTGTATTAACTTAATTTAGAAACAATCTGAAAATGTAAAAAAATTTTAACAAAACAAAAGTAGTTCACATTTTTAGACAATCTAATCGATAATTACCCAGGGCAATCGTTCTCTGATTCAATAACGATGTAATAGATTACACATTAGCGGTTATATATATTTAAAAAAATTATTTTCACGCGCTTAATGTAGTTAATCAATTTAGACGTCATCATCCGGTGAAGCGTGTCAGACAAAATTACAAAAATATATAAATTTTCACTTTTTAGAGTAAATAATTATTTAATTACAAACAAATAATAAATTACATATATTTGTATGATTTTGATTATTATTTTAATGTTAATTCTAAATAAATTACTATTTAAACAGTTATATTATTGAACTCAAAATAAATAAAATTTATATATGTAGAAACGGGTGCCACGTGCGCCCTTGAAACTAATATTTATTAAGTATACGTAATATATCTATACTTCTTTGGCTTCCTGGCTTTACTTCTCAAAAAAAATAAAAATTATACATATGAATGCAAAAAAGTAACGTCACGGGCACGGCTAAATTATCTAGTGCCCAAATTATTACAAAAAGCTTAATACTATAAGATACACCACAGTACTTATTGTAATCGTTTTTATCCCAGCAATACAATACAATAGTTTTAGAGCTTCCATGTATTGTTAGAAAAAAAAACAAATATAGCTATTGTAACTGCAATACAATAACCACAAATGTTCTAATTGCATCTCTGGTATTACAATACAATATTATTGTATTGAAATACCAGATAATACAATAACAATATTGTTGTATTGTAATTGTTATTGTATCTAATTTTTACAATAACAATATTCCTAACCCTACTCCTAAAACAAAAATACCAAATTGACTCTAAAAATGTTTTAGATATGAAATAGGTTATACATTTTTTCGGAAATAAAAAGAAATGGTTCATTTTAAGGATTCACCGTGTTTCATGTTTTTAAGACAATTTGACAGCGAATACGACATCGGAAAACAAACCTTCTTGATTTTAAAAGACGGTCATTTTGACACAAAAAACGTCAAAATCAGACTTAATGTAATTTTTTTTATCACGCAACCTCTCAAAAATCTAAAATACCTAATTTCTCAAAAAGCCCATAATTGATGATTTTGTTTAATACGTTTTTGGAATCGGGAAATGGTCCCTGTTCATTATCAAAAAAAAAAAAAAAAAAAAAAAAAAAAAAAAAAATGTTTGAGATGTCTACCATGCTCGTACATGTACATGTGTGTACATTTTTAATAATAATTGGCCTTAACATAAGGCAAAAATTAAAGTGTTCGGTCTCGAAAATGTTTGCGCAGGACCTTGAAACTCTTAATCTCAGCCTTTTATTAAAAAGAGAACTAAGTTCTATTGAAGCGAAATAAAAATGTTTAAGAAAATTTTAATTAAAAAAAAAAAAAAAGCTCGACAGTTATAGAAAACGACCTTTATATATATAACGATTTATATATTTTCGCAACTATGATCTTGGACGTTCCTTTTTACCTTTAAACAGAGCTAGTAAGGAAACACTTGCAACCTTGACAACTTTGAAACGAACACCAGGGATATCACCAACGGCGTGACCTTTGCGACCAAATCCAGATACAAGAACCTCGTCATTTTCTTCGATAAAATTCAGGCAACCGTCATTAGGAACAAAAGCTGTTATCTTTTTACCGTTTTTAATTAATTGTACACGAACACACTTACGAATAGCTGAGTTTGGTTGTTTTGCTTCAACACCACTAAAAAAAAAATGAATATCTTATACTAATATATACATTTATATGTATATATATACACACATTAAAATTTAATTTGGTAAAACAAACAATACATTACGTATTGTTTAATTTAATGTTTGAGATATTGGTGGCTGGTGTAATCTGATTTTTGGCATTGAGAATCAGGCCTACCAGTGAATAGTAAATCTGCATGATGTTTGAAAACTTTAGCACAAACTCTGTCAAAGATTACTCTCAGAGTAGTGACTCTAGTCTCAAAATAAACAAAACTTTAAAACTAAGAAAATGTTTGAGATATTGGTGGCTGGTGTAATCTGATTTTTGGCATTGAGAATCAGGCCTACCAGTGAATAGTAAATCTGCACGATGTTTGAAAACTTTAGCACAAACTCTGTCAAAGATTACTCTCAGAGTAGTGACTCTAGTCTCAAAATAAACAAAACTTTAAAACTAAGAAAATGTTTGAGATATTGGTGGCTGGTGTAATCTGATTTTTGGCATTGAGAATCAGGCCTACCAGTGAATAGTAAATCAGCATGATGTTTGAAAGCTTTAGCACAAACTCTGTCAAAGATTGCTCTTAGAGTAGTGACTCTAGTTTCAAAATAAAATTTTATAAAAACCAATCAAATAATTCCAACTGCTGACTAAAAATATTTTTTTAAAAAAACAAAACAACTATAACTGGTTAAACCAAAAGAAACTACTTTATAGACCGATTCAGAGAGTTAAGAGAAATTTTTCGAGATTGAGAGATAAACTCTTAAATATGATAGCCTGATTTTTCATAAATAATAATTCTTTTCTAATCGTCAATGTTTATTATTCATTTTTAAACAACTTATAACTTACAAAATACTCTAATACACTTAATCACAATAATACAGAAGTAATTTAGTGACTGTATACACATATGCTGGAGGGTCCTCAGTATAAACATTAAGGGTTTAAAAATCTTTGTTTTTTTTTTTATATAATTTAAATAGGTATTTTAAACTTTAATTATTTAGAAAATATTAGGATAGTGCCAATCTAAATACATAAAGATATATATAAAACTTTCAGCATAACACAAATCGACTTTTACACTTGCACCTAACTAAGCACATACACAGGGTGGTTTACACAGTTTTTAAGTCATACATTTTGAAAAATTGAACAGCTACTACCATTATAGGCTTATTTCTTTACTAACTGCCAAAATGAATCAAATATTGGGATGCTTGCACTCCATCAAGGCTCAAAATATCATAAGACAAAATATTTTAAAGACAATTTTTTAAAAGAAAATGGATTTAAAAAATGTAATAAAACAATTACATTTAAATATTAGGATCGCTATGTGCTATACAGTCAACAATTTGGTTAAATATCACATTACTACACTACTTGCAAAATCATCAAAATGGCTTACCTAATCACATGAGCAATAGTCAAACAAGCACTGTTATTAAAATTGAAAGCTAAACTCTAATTTTATTAAAATTATTACAAATATTGTTTGATTTGTAGATTTTGTAGATTTTATAACTTTAATCCCGTTAAAAACCGTTAGTTGATGTGTACTTCCATAGCATCTATTTTTAAATGAATTAGCTATTATTTTTTATCAAGATAAGATTGCTGCTGACACAGAACAACTTAGTGATTTATATTTTCTTTACAACTAATTTAAGAGCACTTTGTAAGTTTTAAAACAATTTTGATATTTTTTTAATCAAAATATACTTTACATACATTAGTAAATTAGTAAAAAAAACATAATAATTAAAATATAAATAATTAATCTTAATTACTGCTAAAAAAAAAGCTTTTCTATTTATTATATATATGCATATCTGTGCCTCATTTGAATCAGTATGAAAAAAGACTGTATTTCATACATTATGTACACTGTATTAAAAAAACAAATATCAGTGAATCATCTTTAATTCATACTATGGTATTAATTAAAGATGATTCACATATTAATAAGCATACTAAAATATTATAAAATTAACCAAACAATATTTTATTATCGTTATAATTTTTGTTACTTTAAATTTAAAATATTTACAACAACAAAAAAATGTCTTAATTATCTTTCTTAAGTCACAATGCAACGTGCATTGACAACTGAGAACGTGTGACAAGTAAAATTACACAAAATAACTTACACTTTTTCGAGTACTATTCCTTTAGCATGAGAAGCTCCTCCAAACGGATTTGCTTTAAGTGCAGTTCCTAAATGAGCTTTTTTATATTCTTGATCATGCCATCTTTGTTCTCGTCGATGGTTTTTTAATTTGCGACCAGCACGCAAACCTCTTGGTTTACCTAAAAATATTATTAATAAATAATAACTTTAAATTAGCATTAACGCATGATCTTTATGATCAAAAAACACATTTATTTTCTTTTTTTGTGGAGTAAAAACTGAATATTTTGAATGATTTCAATATCGCTATAGTTACAAAATAAAAAATTCCATGCAACTCTTAACAAACGTGGACTTATACAACATATAACGTACCCATGTTGCCGGTTTAAAAAGAGCTGATTATAGCAAAGCACGGTAATGAATATCTATATTACCCACAATTCATTTCGAACTATTTATTATCTGCGGCTTCATGTTATTCGCATAATGCGTTGTAATTGTGAATTGGAGCGGAGGGGGTGGGGGAGCTGGCCTTTATTACATCTTAAATAAAATAATTTGTCACTTAAATCATTTAAATTTATTTTCCCTCTACTTTGAAGCAAAATTAATTTTCTACAATTATATTAATATTATTAATTTTTGAAAGTTGTTGGTATTATATTTTTGCTGTTGTTAAAAACAGTGGCAGACATTTTTTTTTTTTTTTTTGTGGTTAATAAGGTGTTCTTAGAAGTCCTTAAATAAGTTTATATATATTCGTCATTATTAATATAAATTTGTACAACATTTTACCGTGAAATATATGATTGGAGCAAGTAGAAGACAATAGTCTTATCATCTTGCCCCATTTTTGTCGTTGACAAAATATACTAATAATAAACTAAATTTAATAAAATATTTATAAAACATATGATTTTTTTTTTAATTTTTTTTTTCACAATGAACATCATTAAATAACCAAGCAAGTAATATAATAGAATTTCAATAAAAAGTGAAGATTTAAATTGAAAAAGGAAAAATTTTAAAATTTAGAAAAAATTTTGAAAATACGAGATTTTTTCATTAATGTTGAGGTCTATTAGCTATTGCTTTACAACGCATTTAAAATGTTGGAATGAGTTTATCGTTTTTATTTTGTTTATTAGAAATGAGTTCCACATTTGGGATCCTCTGTTGGATATTGAGAATTTAGATTGTCTTAAAGAGATATTCGGAATATAGTAGTTCTGAATAGAGTATTTTGTTTGATATTTGTGATTAATAAAGCGAAAATAGTTATGCAAGACTTCAGGGACCAGATCATTTTTAATTTTAAACATGAACTGAAGAATGCAATGTATATTTTGTTCGTAGATATTAAGAAATCTCAGTTCCCTCATTAAATGTTTAGAATTGGCATTTTTATTACTAAATATTTTCATTTACTTTATACTATATGTACAAGTAGCACTTAATTAGTTTTCAAACTAGATAAAAATATTATTATGAGTCTCAATCAGCCTAAGAAAGAATTTTAACTGATCTTTCAACACTCTGTGAATGGGAAGTAATGTATGTGATGTCGAATTTTTACTAGAAAATAATTTTTCTACATTCTCCTCGTCATTAAAATTTTCAGATGTTGCTTCATCTATGTCTTGATCAAAAATTTTTATATTTCCTATAAGAACGTTATTTTGAATATATAAACATCATTTTGAACCAAGCGTCATTTTAAATTTGGAATTTTATTTATTTGGTTAATGGTTTGACCAAGTTTTGATTTTGTTCATTTTAAATAAAAAGCGCGGCCGTGGCGCAGTGGTTAGAGCGCTTGCTTTATAAGCAAGAGATCCAGGTTCAAGACGAGCTTTGAACATACTTTCGCGTCAGGGTAAGGAAGGAGGCGTAAACATCCTGGTTAAATGTACTTCCGCGGTGCTCTGTGACAAGACCTTAAGGTCTTCTTGGGGCACCTAAAAGAAAAAAAAAATTGCTTCGTGCAACTTATTACTTTTTTTAATACGGAAATATGTACGAAGTCATGAAGTATGAACCATGAACCATGTAAGTAGTCATGAAGTATGAAAGATGACCCATGCAGGACCGTAGGAATAAAAACTATATTGGAGGCAGTGTTGGATTAAGTGGTGCCGAAATAATTTTAAGGACCTTTTTTTTCCTTTTTTTTTAAGACATTTTTTCAGTCAATTTTTTCAAAATTGTTTATTTTAAAAATTATGGGGGTTGGGGGAAGGGAATGCCCCTGCTGCCTTCCCTGGTTGCAACGAGCCTGCCATGTAAGTAGTCATAAAGTATAAACAATGTAGGAACATAGATTTGGACACAACAAGTTATTAAAATAATCAATCCAGAATCTTGAACTAGTACTAGCACATATAAAGAGACCTTTCCTATTGCTAATGTTAACCAACGAGAATGAGTAAGGAGACCAATTTTCCAACTTGAGTATTTAACACTCGTATTTACTGAGGAAATTTCCATGCAGTATTCTTATAAAAGCCTCTGGTCACTACTTAAATCATCTTAAAAAAGTTTCTAAAACAAAATTAGTAATTGGAAATTTAATAACATCAAAATTAACAACTAAATAAAGCTCATTTTTGATATATCTCATTTTTCTTAATGGTCCAAAAAAATAATTTGGGAACTTAGTTACACCATCATTTTTTTTAAACAGAGATTTAAAGGAAAGTTCATTTTGATGAAAATTACAGGCTAAAGTGTAACGTTTTTGCCCAACTTTTTTTTTCTATTAGCAATTATTTTCTACTTTATGACGTGTTTGTTAAAGTATGGTAATACTTATCAAAAACTTTTTAGAGGTTCTGAGCTTATTTTTTTTCCTGTTGTTGCAACAAGATGAAAAAATTTAAAAGTAAGATATTCTCCGTCATAAAGGTTAGTTCTTTAGTCACAGTCACAGGGTTGGGGTTAAATCGTATTTGTATTTGTATTCGTAATTATATCTGATCAAAAAAAAATCTTAAATATTTGTAGTTGATTGAAATGTATTTGCGATTCCATAAATTAGGTTAGCCAGTGTTTTTTATGGGGAAAACCAAGTGGTTTGTTGTTGTTTTTTCATTTTTAACACTAAAATAAATTTAAAAATTTGTTTTTAAGGCATATTTGTTAAAAGATTTGTTTTCATTTATCTAGTAGATTTTATCAGTCGTATTTTGGAAGAAACTTTATATTTTTTCCTAACCTAAATAAAAAACATTTATAAAATGCAATATAAATATATTTGAATTTGTATTTAGAAATTTAGAACTTACGTATTTGTATTTGTTATTGATCAAATATATTTGACCGCAACCCTGCAGAGTCAAATAAAGTTCTTTTTCTGTAGATTCAACCTCTACCACCTGTTATTATTTCTTTTTCAATTATCTGTCATTATAAGTTTTATTATATGTTCTACCGTCATTATATGTTCTACTGTCATTATATTTATATTCTTTAAAAGAAAAAAATAAATATTCTTTAAGAAATGATAATTTTTTACTTTTTACAATATTGATTTAAAGTTTATGTGAGAAACTATATATAAACACCATTATTTGAATTTCGTTAAAAGTTGCACTGACATTATTTGTACAGTAGTCTAATAATATTTACGTGTTTACTTTAATTTATATTTTAATTCGTAATATTTGTAACTAATTTGTCTTACGAACGGTATATATTTTAATATTGAATTTAATTTTGTAATAATAAATTATATACATATACATATATATATATATATATATATATATATATATATATATATATATATATATATATATATATATATATATATACATATATATATATATATATATATATATATATATATATATATATATATATATTTCAGGCGCGGATCTAGGGTATAGCCGTTGTGGCTAAGGCTACACCTTAATATAATCAACGAAATAAAAAACAATGTAATACTCCAACATATTTTTAAAATAAAAATAATATAAATAACTAAGATATGTTTATTTTTATTTGCTGTGTAAATTCGGCTTTAAAAGCGATTACTTAAAACCAAAAAAAACCGGAATTAAAAAAAAGATCGGTTATTGCATACCGGTTTGTGGAGAAGCCACAAGCGACCTGATTTTACGGCATAAGCTAATTAAATTATTGTTTTTTTTAAACTAATATATTTTTATTCAAAAGTTGTATGCCGTTAACACTCGTAGCCCGTGGCTAGATTTGTAGCTGTTCTTATTTCCCAGTCCAGTAATTTTCAAATAAGCAAAGCGCCTTTATTATTTTCTTAGTAAGTTGGTAATTATGGCGGATATGTTTTGAAAAGTAACTGTTCCAAATGCTATTGATTCACATTCATAACATTAAATGTTGCGAAAAAAATTGTTTACAAAACGAAATGGTTTGAATATCTCACCAGTTTAATTTCGTAGTTAAACTTTTGGTTTGAAAATGCCCTGGTATAAATGTTTTTATGCCATATTTAAAAATGGATCAAGGTTTTGACAAAACTTTTCAAGCTTTAAGGTATGTTTTTAACTTTATTTTCACGGACTATATTTGTAATATAAATAACAAGCTTTTTATTAACTAGTTTACTTATATACAACTGTTTCTGTGTTTATTGTTTTAAAATTCTTATAACATTTAACTAAAACATTATTATTTTATTAAACAGTTTAATACTATAAATAAAAGTTTTGCCACAGAGCTATATAAACAATTTTTATTTTTTTTTGCTATAAATGTAAATAATTAAAATATTAGATTTTTAGTCCTTCAAAAAAATTTTAATCTTCAAATTGAAGCTTTAATTAAAGAGGATCTTATAATTTGATTCTATTATTAATTAGAATCAAATATAATACAATATTGGAGACTAAATAAGTGAGTCATCAAGAAAGAGTTGGAGGAAATATTTTCGAACTATTTAATTTTGGTATTTATGCAGGTGACACTATCTTATAAGATCATTTAATATCAGCCCCTAAAAATATCACATTATTTCTTAAACCATACAAAATCAACTTATGGAGTGTTGTAGCGAGGCTTTTGAGAAGATTCTTATTTCTGAAATCAATAATAGTAAATACTATTCAATTTTAGCTGATAAAGCATCTGATTGTGCCAATCTCAAATAGTAGTCTATCGTTATAAGATATGTAGGCAATAACTATAATACTCGTGAAAATTTCTTAAAGTTTGTTAACTGTCCTTAATTATTTAAATGTGCTCTTAGTCAAAAATTAGAGGCATGTTTAAATAATTATCTTTCTGTTGGCAAATCAAAGCTAATCTATGTCTGTTTTGCTTGTTGGGTTTAAAACAGAAAAATCTAGACATTTTTTTTAGCTAAAGTCTCTGCATAGTTGATGTTTGAATTTTATTTCAATGTAATTTTAGTTTTAACCAAAATTTGATGGGTTGAATCGTTTAGATTGTAATAAGACTCCAAGATAAGCAATACCAATGTCTCAAATTTCAGAATCTTGAAATTGACAATTAAACACGCTTCAAGAGATTAAATTTGGTATTGATTTATATCGCTACAACTAGTCTAATATTGCTTTTGAATTAGCTATGACTTTAAATGTAAAAGAAAACAAAAAACTAGAAAATGTAGAAAGCAAATTAATCATGATAATCATTCATCATCTGATTATTTTAAGCTTTCTATCACTTTACCTTTGCTGGACCATCTTATTAATGAGCTTATTAATTATATAAGATTTCAAACAGAAAGCAAGTTGGTTTATATGGGATGTTTGCAGTTCCAACTGTTATGTTAAGTTACCTGAAAATTAACTAAGATATGCAAATCTACTTTTATGAATTCTTAGATATCTATAATTCCAACTCCGCATTCAACCTTTATACATGCAGAGTTGGATTATGAAAGCCTCTTCAGAAAGATCAGTCAAAACCCCCATCTAGTATTTTTTAAACAAAAGTCACGACAATGACTGATTTCCCCCCCCCATGCCCCCAACATTCTTGAATATTTTAAAGACTTAAATCTAGGTCCCAAGAGATTAAAAACTTAGTCAAGAAGTAGAGTGTTAAAAAAGTCATTGAATGACCTAACTTGAATGTCAATTTATACCAAAATGGTTCTAGATAAAGACAGGGTTGACAAAAAATATTCAGCTTCTGGAGAGAGATGTTTAAAGTTGCTATTTAAACCTTAAATAATTGGCTATGATTGAAAAATAGTTATATTTATGTGTGAATAAAATAATTGAATATTTCTTATATTTACAATCATTTTTTTGTTTTTTTCATTGTTTAATTTTCTCTTAGAGCATCTTATTTTTTATTTGTTATAAATGAATTTATTTTCTATTTTGTGTAAATTTCATATTCCTTGGCATCTAAAATGTTGAATATTTTAAAAATTGTTTTTAACTAAATAATGTAAACCACTAAATAAAAAATTTAAATGTGTGTTAATTTTGTTAGAGTATGCTATAAAAAGATTGCTCGGTAATCATTAAAAACAAAGATGTAATAAATTAGCTTCCTGAGGGTTCTATAAATAGTGAGACTATTCAAATCTTTTTTTTTTTTAATATATACAAAATTTAATTATGAAAAATGCAAAGTTATGCATATTGGGAAAAAAAATCCAAATGCTACATTTATAATGACTGATATTGATTGCAATTACAATTATACATTGTGTAACACAAAAGCTGAATGTGATTTGGGTATAATGGTTCAAAATGGCACTCACAAGTTGATTCAGCAACCAGCAAAGCAAACAGAATGTTAGGTACCATAAAGAGAAGCTTCAAATATTTAGATGTAAACATGGTAAAAATGCTCTATATTAATCGTTCATACGTCCACATCTTGAGTTTGCGGTCCAGGCATGGTCTCCATTTTTAAAACAAGACATTGACAAGATTGAGAAAATCCAAAAAAGAGCAACCAAACTAGCACCTATAATTAGGAAATTATCATATGAGGCTAGATTGAATATTATGCAATTAACGTCACTGGAAGAACGTAGACTACGTGGAGATCTGATTCAACAATATAAAATTCAGCATGGCCACGATAAAATAAATTGGGTTGCTAACAATTGTGGAAATGCATTGGAGGAGGGTCCATGTCTGCGACAACACAAATTCAAAATGAGGAAGCCTTTTAGCAGAAATACCTTCAGGTATCATTTTTTCCAAAATCAAGTTGTAAATGCGTGGAACAGCTTACCATCTGAAATAATAGAAGCTACTTCAATAAACAACTTCAAAAACAAACTAGATGGAGCTGGATTTTGCAGAAACTATTTGTTAAAACACAAACAAAAGACAAAATGAGCTTTTACAGTGCAATAATATCTTATGTTATAGCACTTCGCAACTGTTTAAAACAGTTGTTACAGTTATACCTTATTATTATTATACTTATATATAGTAGTATACAACTTTAAAGTAAATATCTTTTGAATAAATCACGATATCATATTGTTAATGCAGTAATAGTTGCATTTATTCTATTAGTAACAAAAATATAAAGGAAAGAATCCATAATTGGAGAGCTAACTTAAGGCAGCGTTACAACTTACATATGGAGTGCAAAGTCCTATGGCTTACCTTCTAGTTGGTGCACTTCGTTAAGTAAGTTAGACATTATGTCTAAATTACGAACAGAATAGCCAAGGCAAATATTAAAAATTTTACCATTAATTATTCTACTAGAATCAATTAAAAATAAATGAAAAATATGTCTCCAAAAAGTGAATTAAAGACGCTCAGATAATAAAACTCATAGACCCCCTTCCCCTCCGCGTACGTACGCATTATATTTTTTTCAAGAAAAACTTTTTTCATTTATAAAGAAATTTAAAAAAATTGTGACTGAAGTCAAGACAAAAAAACACAATTCTAATTTTGTTACACGCGTGAAATTCAATGTTTTTTAAAAAAAATAAAATCAAGTTAAAAAGAGATAGTCAAACACCCCTCTTCCCTTGTACGTGATCATAAGCTTTTGGGAAACCCCCTCCCCCATACCTGCGTACGTACGTTATAGATGGTCTTTTAGAAAAAGTTTTAATCTAAAAATCAATCGAATGGAAACAAAAAAAATACGACTAATTTGTTAAGGCTTTAATTTGAAAAATAATATATTTCAAGTATACCTAATAGTTCTGTTGTCTTTTGTTTCAAATTGTTAGTTTTATTTTTTAAACAGTTTTATTAACATTTTTAAACTCACTTGTCGTTTAATTTAAATTTGCATACAACATTTAATAACTTCAAATGTCGAAAATATGTTACGAAAGCAGCGCACAAACAAGAGCAAGACAGATCCGGAAAGTAGCAGAATTAAATAGCCTTGCTGGACTATTAGTCAGTTTCAAACACTACTATATTCGATACATGCAATTTAAATAATAAATCTCAACTTGAAAACGATAATGTTAAAGGAAATATGAATGAGCCACTGAACCTTCAAAACATCGATAACCAGAACGAGAATGTAAATGGTGAATCAGGATCTAAGAGCGTAAATATTGAGGATATTATATCTAACAATACTTCAGAAATTAGTGATAATTCACAAATGGAGAGCGGTACTTTATCAAAATGCAGTTATGATATATTAGATCCAGCACCATGGCCTGTTGAAATCGACTACGCACAACGGATGTTTTTAGTAGAGCAGTCACCAAAAAGTTGTTATCGGTAAAATACGGTGATAATTCTATTACAAATCAATGCGTAAAATCGTGGAACAATTAACCTTTCCATTTTCAATCCTTTAACTCAATTTTACAATTTAAAAGCCGTCTTTTTGACTATTTGATAGAAATTAAAATCTTAGGCTTATGATAGATTATTATTACTATTGTTATTAGTATTATTATATGTGATGTTAATATTACTTACATTTTATTTACATTTTTATTATCGTCATTATTACTTATTAAAATTGTTTAATGTTTATATGTGATATTTTTTAATATTATTATTGTTAATTTTATAGTTTTTTTTTTGTTATTATTATTGTTGTTATTTTTATTACTACTATTATAATTATTGTTATTATTATTGTTGTTGTTATTATAATTACTAATATAATCGTTATTATTGTCATCATTATATTTAATAACATTAATATTATTATAATCCTCTTCGTTTAATTTACATTATTATTATTATGATTGCTATTATTATTTATTTGGTGTTTACCTTAGATTAGTACTCGTATGAAATGTAAACAACTATGAAATGTAAACTTTTATTTCAGAATGTATATTGTTATTGTATATATATATATATATATATATATATATATATATATATATATATATATATATATATATATATATATGCAGTGTCCTCCATAACTAAGGGAACACATGTTGAAATTTATAACACAGTATTAGGCCTATTACCATATAGTTTAATACAAAAAAAGTATTGATTTAAGTAAAATATAGTCTAAGTAACTATTTTTTTGTAAATTAAATATATTAAAACGCCTGAACACAAATAAAAATTAAAAAAAAGCTATTATTTCAAACTCCAAAATTAAAGGAGTTTTTAACAGCATCTCATATTAACCAAATGCAATCATCAAAAAATGATTTAAAGGAGCACAAATATGTTAAATAATTTAATAATACAGCATCAAAAGCACATAAGATCAATAATTGATCGCCTATCCGCATATATTTTTAATAATCTCAATACATTTATGAGGCATAGAGTCTATAAGTTTATTAGTTTGAACTTTTTTTTTTTATCTGTGACCAGGCACTATGAAGTCCTTGATGAAATTCTTCTGCATTTACTCAAACAAATTTTTAAGCGTAATACTTAATGAACATATTAGCTGGAGTAATCATATCAAAGTAATAGAAAATAAAATATTTCAAATTATTGGTATTATGTATAAAACAGAACACCTCCTGAACACAAATTGTTTAAAAAATATTTATTTTGCATTTATTCATAGCTACATCAGCGTTCACATGTATCGATATAGGTATACTGTTAAAGATATCGTTGGCGTTATTTATATTTATGTATAAGTTTTTAAAACAAAAACGTACATATTTATTTATTTCAGAACCTGATTTCCCATTATAACAGGGAAAAAAGTTTAAATATTTAAAAAACTTTTTTAAAACTAAAATTACTACAAAATAATAAGTGCTATTTTATATAAAAACTTAAAACATGTTTTTAGAACAAAAAATCCTCTAAAATATTTATAAAAAATTTCAAAACCTCATGGCAGAATTTATTTTACAAAAAAAAAAAAAAAAAAAAAAAAAAAAAATATTTTTTTGACAATTTCAAAATATTTATTCTGCGTTTAAAAACTTCAAATAATTTAATGCAACTTATCGAAAATTCTGCAAAAATAAGCTCAAAAGAAAATTTCATTCGACAAAAAGAAAAAAAAAAACTATACATAAAAAAAAGAAGTTACAAATTACAATTATAAATACAAACATTACATTTACATTTCCAGAGATACAAGATTTTATATCAACACGAACAAGTAAGCTTCATTGGCAAAGGTTTCAATTCAAATATAGCACCATACGGTCTATAAAATGGAAATTGACGATGTTTTGCATTCTGCAGAGAATGACAATCGTCGACAATATGTCCATTTAAATAAACATCGTCATATATATCGCTCATTAATTCTACATTTATGTTCTGTAATACTTGCCGGTTATTTCGAATAAATTCTCGTTTCGACATTTTCGTTTTTACGTGAGGACTGTATAAGTCCACGCTGAGTAACAATATTGAATAACATATAACGCTAAGTTGCTCTAAATAAAATTTTTTGCAAATCAAGCAAATAAAAATTCTAAATAAAAATTCTAAATAAAAATTTTTGCAAATCAAGCAAATAAAAATTCTAAATAAAAATTCTAAATAAAATTTTTTGCAAATCAAGCAAATAAAAATTCTAAATAAAAATTCTAAATAAAATTTTTTGCAAATCAACTTTAAGAATATCAAGTCATGCGCAAAGTATTTATAAATTTTAAAAAAGAATTTATAAATTTTTACATTGCGGAATGTAAAACCCAAAAAATATTTAAAATGTAAAAAATTTCGCTGAAATTTGTTTCATTTTAAATAACATCATTGAATTGTCGATACTTTAATGATAAAATATTATTATTTTCGTAATAATTTACAACGAAACTTAAACCAACTAGTTAAAATCAATTTTCTTTACTTAAAACCTTTCTTCATATAAAAGAAATATAATTACTAAAAGTGTTTAAGCTGTACTTGGTGATCAGAGTTGACTGCTAGTTCTAAAGTCCCGAAATTGAATGAAAACAATGACACACTTTTCAAAAAAAAAAGCGTTCTGTAAGGAACCGCCTACAAAAACAAAGCTGGTATAACAAGACACAAATAT